GAATAGCGGGTCTGACATCTGTAGGTACTGAACTTGACTCACATTGACAACACAGGGACGAAAATGTATAAGCTATTGTGTAAACAATCGGCAGTTAATTGGCGTTGTTAATCGTATGGTATTTCTCTTTAAGAAAATGGAAATTAAATTCATGCGCATTCGCAAGCTTTCACGTACAAGTTATTGAATTGTACTATAAGAAAATACACTCGGATTAATCAGACTTGACTTTTGTCTTTCCTCAACGTAACAACGCAGCTTTCTTAAAATAATTAATAGAAATTATAGGACAGCAACTTTTCTCAATAGTTTTAACTACCGGTTGTTCTTAAATTTTCATGCATATGTGATAGATGTAATGCGTATTCTCTATTAATATCAATTAAATATTGTAAGGTGAATATTAAATTTATATAAAAATAAAAAGAGAAATACGAAAGGTTTGTTTCTCACACCGTCAGCAAGCCTGTGTGTGTAGAGAAGTCGAAGCAGAAGAAATTGCTTCCTGTATTTCTTGAAGAAATTTCATCACTAAAAAATTGGCGTGACATCATAAAAAGAATAAGGTCATGCCGTACCAAATTATCGTGAATAGCCATGGATTGTAGCGCAGCGTTAACGCCTTGAGATGAAGCCTAGAAATGGGACAAATGATAAAGCCTTGCGAAGCGTGATTAGTTGACACCTCTTAGTGTCACCGCAAAACTGGTGAATCAGCATCGCCGTGAGCAGAGTCCAAAACAAAATCCAGGTACGTGCTATTTGTTACCATCTATAAATCGTAAAATGTGAGTTCGACGGAAATGAGTGACGTCCATGCACAATGGTGAAGTCGTTACTTCCTGGTAAGTTTGTGCTGTTCATGAATCATAATGTCTTAGCTGCTCGAGATGTAGCAGATAATCGAAAATTTTAAACAGATCGAGGATACACGACCGATTCATAACTCGTAACTCTTTGAGAAAATCGTAAATTATTGAGCATTTTTAACCTCTAATTTGGTTGTTCTTGTAAATCAATTTTTTTACTTCATCTGAAGCGCCTTCTGTATGAATGATATAGCAAATTGCTGGGGCTATTCTGAAAACTCATGAGCAGATCACTGAAAGTGCGTGAGCTCAGTATGGTTTTGAGGTAGAGTTTTAAATTAAATAAAAGCGTTATCGATAAACTAAGCCTTCACTCACTTAGTTACAACAAAAATGAGTAACTATACTTTGGAGCTCTATTGTATGGTACAAAAAGTTGTGCATTTTTTAATACATCGATTAATGAAAAATTTGTCATTTGCTTCTAATTATGGATATGATGTAAACAAGGTTTTGAATACACGAAGTTTAAATTATATGTAGAAAAATAATTAGCATTGCCGTCTATAAATAATTTCTTGAAACCGCTGGCATTTCTAATAATTGATAAAAATAGTTATAGCAGGTTTTCCACGCAGATTTAGTCGATCTTGCTTAATTAGAAATGAAGCCATTTATTGAAATTACTCTTCACACTCCTATAAGCGTTGTAATGAATTTATTTTTGTCCCCCCTTTTGTTTTCATGTAATGCGCTGCATAGGTTAGTTTTGACCCCGTTTGCTCTCCAGCTAGTTGAACGCTCCATATGGAAACACTCATAAGAGTGGCAACGTTGCTCAATAATTCCATTATGCATGGTTAAGCCTTAATTTGATACAATAATTTAATGAAAAATAGAAGTTTAAAATGCGAGTCCGGCCGTAACATTGGCTGACATGTGATTTGGTTTTAGAGTGCAATAATCATTAAATGATTTTTTCGATTAGGCTATCATACAATCTGTACAGTGCAGCTATTTAATTATTAATAAGCTTCATCACTTTTTTTTTCATACGTAAATAGAAAAAAATTCCCAAGATTATTATCTAATCAGATTTTCATTCAACACCGATGCAAGTTGGAAGAAATATTTTATACTCATATCATCGGCATATGGCAACATCGAGACTAATGAAGTGTAGACTTTCGAGGTGTGACCGATTTCTCGCTGTTTCTTTATTACGAGTGGCGAGTGCTATGTCTGAACTTCTGAAGTGAATTTATACCGGCTTGATGGCATCAGAGGGAGAGGAGGATCAGGTTCGGAAAGCCCAGCCTTTGCAGGCAGGTAAGTAAACAAAGCTTTTAATTTTTTCACTACTAAAATATTACAAAATTTCGATGTAACGTAACGCGTGCCATCATAATCTTTGTTGACTAGCCTATCATGGCAGATGGCTATGACATTGCACCTTGCACGTTGGACTTGGAGCAACTAAGACTAATACTATAGTATTAGTCTATATATAAACTAATATATAATGAATAACCATTGAAGAGACATACGTATACCGTATACGCCCATGCTTGATGCAATTTTGCTCATTTTTATTACCATGGCTGCTGGCCCGCCATGGCCTAAACCTAATCAGGAAAGTTTTGCCTATTTTTCTATAATTTAGGAAATTTCCCTGAAACTATTTTTTGGGGGCATATTTCAGATTGGCCCGAGTCAAACTGTAAATTATTGGTGCTTAAAATTTTGAATAGGTATTTTTACAATGAATAAAATATGAGTCAGCAAGTGTAATGATAGGAGCTTGATTTGATATTTTTCCTGTCATGATGGGTTGATGGCATCCAGTGGCCACTGGCCAGTGCCAGTACCAGTGCTCATATAACTTTTGTATATATTTTTACGTTTTACTCAACTATAATTTACCTTCATGAAGTTGTATTTTCTTTCTCATGTGCTGCAGTGGTTCACAAAAATATCCTCTGCATATCCTCCTTCAAATCTGCATTTTATTACTATAGGCATACCTATATAATTCTAACTGGGAACCATGCCTTTCACTAGAATTTCAGAAGTAAAACAAAACCAGCAAACAATTGTAAAAAACAATGTTGCTAATGCATAACCAAGTAAATTTTTCAGTATTCAATTATTAATAAATGGCTTGTGTAGAATTATGACATCTTTATTAAGCACAGAACCCATGTGTAATTGTGTATGACATAGACATACAAATGAATAATTGTTAAAATCATATTAGGACACAAAAATAGTGATGAAGCAGTTAACGTTAACCAAATTAGAAACCTACAGGATTGTTTCTGTTACCTTGCCAAATGTACAATATGTATGTTTAGCATAATTTAATATAGAATAATCCTTAACTATCAAGCATATATATACATCATGGAATCATCATCATGTAAGGGGTAATAAATTTTCACATTTAATGTTATTACTTATTAATTCAATTTAACAATTACCCATTGCAGTGAAATCATTTTCTAGTAAAATAAATTCCTTGATTATAATTGGTGTCATGACTGAAGATATTTAGGGCCTAATAAGAAGTTATAAACTTGTTCAATTTCAGATCTCTCTCTGGCTTTCATATCTTTTCATGATGGTGTTTTTTTTATTTTTCATATTATATTTGCAGTCTTCATATTAGAGATGAAACAAATTCTAATAATTTTTTTGCTTGATCTTGATAAGATAACATTGACCCTGCTTATGTTCTATTTTTAGCAACAAAAAACATTAAATATTTTTGTGCCAATAAATTGATGAAGACTAATGAAATTTGTCATTTTCAGAATGGGCAGCTTTATTGCAGAAGCCATCTTCAAGTCAGGCTGTAGCCCCTCATGACACCAGGGAATTGGCTACAAAAACTGATGTGGCTTCTGGTCTTTCAAAGAAGAAACGTCAGCTACATGCTTGTCTTGAATGTATTAGTTATGGGAAGACAGAGAGGTGTTTCAAGCTATGTGATGGCATCAAGACCTCCATCATGCGACACAAAGAAAGACAGCACAAGAATGATACAAGATCCTTTGATCAATTTCGGAAGATTATTTTACCCTTCCAGTCGAAACTTGTTCAACAAGCCATCTATAATTTGTCTACCATGGCAGGAAATGCACAAAATCTGCAGGGAAGAACATCAATTAACACCTGCAAAGAAAAACATGGTATTGCATTCATTTCTGAGGGAGCACAATCAGATGAAGGGAACGTAGAGACATCCAGCAGCTCCAGCCTACTACTGATGACCTCTACAGGCAGCAATGAGAGTGCAACACCTTCTCCACCATTAAAGAATTCAGAGCAAGAGACGTCCCATAACACTGATGAAATTTCTCAACCAACAAACGCTTTGATAGCATCGCCTCAGCAAGAAACCTCTCAGCCTGCAATTCATTCTGAAATATTCCTCCTTTCAGATGAAAATCCCGACATTTTGTCTGGAAAAAATTTGCAAGGTGGCAGTTTCTCTGCCACTACTAGTACACTAGATACTACGCAAAAGGACGCCCAAGTAATTCATTTGCCACCAAGTTCTTCCAATGCAAGCAATCTCAAGACTCGGACAACACATCCTCCTCAGCAGGTCCTGGATGAATTTTTCACTAAATCAGTGGTGTCAGTGGAGAGCCATTTGAGTGCAGCAATGTCAACTCAGACTGTTTCAAGCATTGATGTTACTTCAAAGCAAGCCTCTTTGGACCCAGAAATGATCAACAAATTATTGACGGAAGTGAGTGCTCTGAAGTCTGATGTGAAGCTCTTAACTTCATCATCATCATCAACGAAATTACCAAATTTTTCTGATCATCAAGCTGCAGATAATGATGATCCTATAATAGATGTAATACAAGCATCGCAAAACTTGGAGCAAGTCGTCGCTTCAAAAATAGTTAAAGTTATTTCCTCTACTGAAGATCCGGATGTTGTGCTAATGTGTGTTTCTTGCCATAATTATTTGAAAGACAGCCCTCATCCATCACATAAGCGTCCTAGAAGCTCTTCAAATCTGTCCTATGGTCTTTCAATTAATAAAGATAGATTCAAGGTTTTGTGTGCCGGTGGTACACAGAAATGGTACTCCTTCAAAAGAGTATTGATGGACCATTTCCAGAACACCAGTCTTTCCACTACTCATGGAATGAGCTTGGTCAATAAAAAGNGAAGGGTCCCTCACCACCATCAACCACTCCGTTTCATCTACCTGTGAATTGGGACGGGCCTCACTTCATCAACCTGGCTGTACTTGACGTTCGCGACGGAAAGCACGGCTTTTCAGACAGCGGCAAACATTTCACCCGCTTCTACCGTCGCTGCAACAAATTTGCTGATGAACTCAAGATTGGCAAGGGTTATGCTGTGTTAGAAAAGGTCGCTGAAGATCACCGCCTTCCCAAGTTTGCACCACTTTCGTACGCTCAACATAGGTACGACAACGTTAATGTTCTGAAGTAATAAACCTTGAATGCCATTATAAATATTAAAGGAAGCTGTTGAATTTGTTGATGCTTTTCCTTCATTTTCTCGTTGATTTTCAAGTATTGAACTGCTGATCTGCTTTGCTTACGTTGCAAATAATAGAACGTATATATTTCAGTGGCAAAATAACTAACTTTTTCACCGTTGTGACTAGATCTGTTCGGCATGCTGTTTTTATAAATTTTAGTTGTTACCTGGACTTTTTCATCCTGCAGATTTGCAAGTAGCGCTTTTTCACAATGGACGGCGGTCTTCAAAGGTTATGCAGCGTTCTGCAAAGCCTTTGACGAGATGAACCCAGAATGTAAAAATTACGAAACACTACAATATATTCTTAAAGGGTTTGATCTCGTAGTGGACCTGATATGCTTCATGGACATCTTCGAGCCCCTTAAACTCACCATGGAAGCTTGCCAAAGCCTAGCTTCAACTCCATGGAAGACGCATAAATACGTCAAGCAGCTTGCTGAGTTCTTTGACTCAATGAACTTTCGCGAGAAGGTGGGAACACCATACGTGAGGAAACACCTACACGAAGTTGTAACAGAAAATACCTTCCAAGGTTAGTTCTACTAGTTACCTGCAACTATCAATAATTATCAAAGTGTAAGTATTTTGATTGACAATCTCTCGTTAACGCTACAAATAGCACTCATTGTAACTTGAACACTTGCTTTTGCTCCATATGTTTGCGTGCTCCATAGCACGTTGTTCAACATATTAAAATGTAGTAATTTTCAAGCTACGGCATTGGCATTTGGCATGCTAGAAATCATCGACGTCTCTGTATAATCAATAATGCATTTGTAGCATTACTAAATTGTTTATTACTCTAATAAGTTTATCATACTTTTACTTGAGTTTTCAGTGATGACAAGGCAGTTATTCTTACAAGCAAATTAACTTGGTTTTTTTTAGTCAGTAGATCTTCAATATACGATATTTTGCAGGAGTCACCTTGATTGAGGGCTACTTGGTCACTGACGAGCATCAGGTGGAAGTGGAAGAGGACTTCATTGCTGGAAGCAGGTCAAGAGGAACTCTCCAGCAACGTAAGAAGAAGAAAACAGTTATAAACTGGATGAGTCGTGAACTGAACGACTGCTTAGAGGACAATGCCCAGCTCACCTCTGACCTAAGTATCTCTCTGAAGAACAGACTTGTGAAATGCTCACATCCTGCTATGGTTATGTTATCAGAGTGCCTAGACTTGAGTCATTAGGTCACACTTCTGCAGGGTGCAAGGACATCTCCAGGGGGACTACCATACGATCGTGTTTCATACGCTCTACATGGTGAAGAAACCTTCCGCGAGCTTGTAACACAATTTTCCACCTTGAAGGTCGTCCGTCAATGCTTCCAGCAGGCTGTGGATCCCAGAATGTCTTCTAGGCTCTTGGATAGCCTTAAATCTGCCGTAGCGGACTGTGTGTGGGGAGTGCACTTTGAAAGCGTCGGTAAAACGATGTTCAAAGTCGTGTCAGGCCCTAACAGTGGAAGATATTTGTGCGACATTCTTCCAAATCAAGATGTAGTACACTCTTTGCAGCCTATAGACACCACAGATTTTAGGCTGGATAGCGAGTATTGTTTAGAGTTAGAAACGGAGAAGTTTGAGGTGCGTTTTGTGGAAAGCAAGTTGATCGCTAGCTTGTATCAGCATGCACCTCTCTATCATCAAGTTGGTGCACCCACCTGTGCCATATTTGATTTTGCATTGAATTTGGGTGGGACGGAGGCAGTCGCTGAAACGTATTTTGGCAAGATGTGCGCTCAAAGCGAGGATGGCGGGATGCTGAGTGAGACGTTGGAACTAAGAACCCTAGTGGACCACTCACTCCCGAGCCCCTGCCTCTGCCCCAATGTAGTGAAGAAAATTTGCAGGCGTTATTTAGACGGCGACGAAAATCTCCCCAAGCACCGACTTCCAATCTTCTTTGATAAGCGTAACAGAGCAGAAAACAAATATGGGAAAAGTAAGGTACTCGATCGCCTATCTAAACAACATAAAGGCCTTGCTTTCATGACTTGAGACTTTTTTATACTCAGGCGGGATCTCGGACGCACGTCTGTGCTCGTCAGATGTCCTATGGGATTTCGCGCTCTTAGGGGGATTGTTCCTGAGCGCCCCACCGCTGAGCTCGCAGTGTCTGACTGCGGGCTTCAGTTGTTGGGTTAGCTTATTATGTAGGTAGGATTCCTTACATTTCCATTGTCTCTCTCGTGCGGGCGGCCGACGTCCCGTGTAAGCGACCTCTTGTTCGAGTGTTTTGGTTTCTGTTGCTTTCCACTTGCCCCTTCTTGTTACTTCGTCTCATTGAAATGCTAACGATCCTTCTTATGAGCCAGCTTCTGCAGTCTTACTATTCTCATGCGGATGGTACGTTGACGTTTTGTACTGGAACAACTACAAGTTTTCTATACTATATTACTTTCGTCGTACTTCTCACACTTTCAAAATCAATACCCAATAAGAAAAGATCTTGTGCAGTATTTACGCAAAATTTCCATTGTGTGATAGCGGATTTTTCTGTTTGAATAGATTTGAAAATTTTCCCTTTAAATTCTATTATATATGGCATTTTTATGTTATGCATTTTATTATGTCTGGAGTTGTGCCTGGAGCTCTTAAATTTAATGCGAGATGACGGGAAATCCCTTTCAATAAAGTTATGCAATCAATTATATTTTTTAGTTTATTCGAATTGTTTTGTTGTAACGTTGAAATACTATTTTCTTTACTTATCCTTGCTGATGTCGGGAATAATGATATAATTTTTAATTTTCCAGTGAATCTGTTGAGGTAGCATTTTTTCAATGATATGATATGTTGTAGCTCACTAAGGCCTATCTGGTGTTTTTTGTTAATTTTGTTTGAACAATTTACTGCTCTTCAATTTGCTATAAACGAAAGCTGAATGATAAATAAATAAGCCTATTGTGTTGAAAAGTCAATACTCAGCGATATGGAATATATTTCAAATTTATCACTTGATTTATGATAAGTTATTTCTTTCATACTAATTTAGCCTCTTTCTTGATGCATAAACCAATGAACGTTGTTGATCATATGCCTAGTATTTTGCGTAGGAAGAGCGTGGGGGTTCATTTTAGAATTTACATCTAACACGGCAATACGTTTACTACCATGTTTTTATTTTACTCCGTATATAATAGTGAGAAATGTTATTGCTAAATTTATCATATTTCTTTTTATGTTACATAATAAAACTCAAAATTTAGTATCGTGCAATTCTGTCTTGTAAACAGTGGATCGTCGAATGAAGTCAGTGGTAATGTCGAACTGATGTGATGTCCCTTATGAAATGGATAAGACAATGTAACTAGAAAGTCTAATCCATGAATTCTATTTCAGCCATGTAGTTCATCGGCAGCCATAGTAGTGACTGGCGCAGGTGGCTTACTTGATGTAATGTCTTAGTTTTGACTATACACTTGTTAATGTGATACTAGCTAAAATAAAAGTTAGCAGCCGACTTGCATTATGTGTTCATGTCACTTGTAATTGCTAGGTGATAAAGCGATGCATTATTTGTGGAAGTTGCCCCTCAGAAGGGATTTATGACACGTGCCTGTACTCATCAGATGTCCTATGAGATTCCTCTTTCCTATGCGCATTGTTCCTCAACGCCCCAACGTAATGCCGGATAGCTCGCAGGTATCAGTTGTGTGGTTCAGGTGTTATGTAGGTAGCCTATGGTAGGATTCCTTGTATTTCGCTTCTGTCTCCCATGCGTGCGGTTGATGTCTCGTTATAAGCAAACTATTGTTAGTGTCTTAGTGTCTGTTGGACTGTTGCTTGTCATCTGTACCTATACGCACAGCCGTCTCTTTGACATGCTGACACTGCTTCGTTTGAGTCAATTTTACCGGGATGGAGACCTTTTGCCTTGCTTCCTAGGTTGACAATTGACCTGCAGCGCGAATTTGCTTGCAATTTGAACCGTTAGCAAACCATCCTACTACTACTGCTACTACTACAATTCTAAACTTGCGTTTATTTTGCAGTTTCATTGTCAACCTTATATTAGCTAGAATCTTCCTGCCAATTTACAATTTTGGCGTCCTTGCCATCCACTTGCTGCAAACAGCGGCGTCCACCGTCCGATTAGATGGTGCCTTGGTGTCTTTTGGGCAGAATAACGGCGTCCTCGACCTATGTTGTGCCATACTCTACAGACTGGCCCACGGCCAGTGTAGCTGTCAGCAGTCAGCTCACCTTTCTTCAGAAGTGTGAAAGCTTTTGCCGGTGAAGGTGTGTTTTACGATCGGTCCGTAAAGAAGTGTTGATCGGTTCAAAATGACATAAGACCAGGTTCTTTTGAATAACCTATAGAATTGCACCATGCAATGCGGATTGCGGAAGTTGAAATTGAAAATTTTATGAAATGACATGTTTGCGAAGTGCAAACTGCGATTTTTTAATCAAACAAAAATTTATGACATTCGAGCCACGAGATTTCATACCTACTGAAATTATATGATATTAGAGCCGCGATATTTCAGACAAAAATAGGACTTTTCCAGACTAGATGGTGCCTTGGTGTCTTTTGGGCAGAATAACAGCGTCCTCGACCTATGTTGTGCCATACTCTACAGACTGGGACACGCAAATGTATGACGTCACCATTTCAATTTTCAACCATCAATGAATGCATGGAACTAAAACAAAGCTTAATACAAAGGAAAAACTAGAGAAGTGACGGAATTACCTACAATGTCGGAATATACCGCGTTTACCCTAATATCATATCAATAAAGGAAAAACGAGTAAAAATCACAGAAAATGTCATTTATTCTACGTTTCTACCTCTACATCATATACGATGAAAGAGGAGGACTTCAGAGTACTGTTAGTAGCCTAATGGATGAGTACACTCTGCATGCTTCAAATATATTAAAATTATGTTTTATTGCAAGTGTCCTGAGTACCTAGCCCCGTTCGACGGGGCTACTAGGATTGAAATTAATGTTTGGAGGCATGGTGGCAGGGAATTATTGTGAGTACTTATCGGTCCACCGCCGTGCGTCGGTCTTAACCCTTCGCAAGGCCCCATGCCCTTGGCCCTTGGGCCCCTCTTGCAAGTTGTAATGGTCTAAACTCAACAGTTCGACCCCTGGCCCTATCCCCATGGTCTCATCACAACTCCCTTTAGAAATATGTGGAGTTTCGAAATTGATAGTAATAAATCAATAAATATTTGAACTGGGAAATTCCTTAGTTACTTACATTGGTTCCACAATGATATCAATGACGTAAAAAATTACAATGACATCGGTTAAGCCTCACTGCCTCAGAGGCTCAGCCATGATTCTAGCTTTGCCAAGCATAGTGGCAAACCAGAGCTTTTTTAGAATCAGTTCATTTTTAATTTCCTCAAAATTTAAACCAATTTCTTATGTATGATAATGCTGGTATCCAGGATACTTTATTGGTCTACTTATAGGACTCAAAAATGAACTTGAGGGAGAGTCTAAAAAAACTCTCTGCTTTGCCACTATGTTGCCAAGTCCTTACACTCTTACCTCCGATACCTCGTAATTCATGATGTTAGAACTTCGATATTCAAATGTTGAATATCTGTCAATATCACAATCAAGATTATTTCACAATCAGAAATATGTTATAATACCGTAAAATGGGGTAACTTAGACCACTTTTTTTCTTATAAATGATGCCATTTTCTCACTAGCTAAATTAAACTTGAATTGAAAATGTTTTTGATGTTCCTACGATTTTTGATGCCCCTTCGGTTTTCGATAATCAACGAGCTAATATTCCTAAGCATCATTGTTGAGCCTAATCCTCATCTCTAAACTCCTTCAATATGTTTCTTCATGTTAAATTGCTCGTGGCGGCCGAGTGGTTAAGCCCTCCAAGATTGAGGCAGCGAGTTGGAGGTTTGAGACCCACAAAAATGTGGAAATTCTGGTCGAAATCGGTAAGATGTGCCCTCAGAGAAATGAACGAGACTTTATCCAAATAGCGACTCATTTTTTCACTTGCGTGGATCTTCCTGACCCAATTTGGTCAGATAAAATAGCGTATTAGAGCTACTCGCAGGAGGTAATTCACTATTTGGACAATATGACCCATTTTTTTCTCTGAGCGATAGTTAAGAATTGGCAACAAAGCAATATTACCTCATAAAATTGACATTATATTATTCTCTAAATAGGCTTTCTCAAATCAGGGTGCACTCAGCAAAACATGCAGGTCAAATTGTCCTAATCGTAACGCACTAACTATAATCCCCAGAGCAGAGAGCGGCCTCTGCACTTACACGCCCATTTGCCGGGCCAAACTGTGTCAAAATGACCCACAAAAAGCGAAAAATGCATCGCTATTTTTAAAATAAGTCACTCAATAAGTAACATAGCGCACTTGTCACCTCCTGCATTGTTCAAGTCTGAAGGTCACGTCTCATATTAATAGCTCATCTATTCGATGAATCATAAATGTAGTAGTTGTATCATATTATTAATTATCAACGAAATAAAAAAATTATTAAATTCTTTCCTTCTTCATAGAAACAGGAATTATCATTGAATGATCACTACATATCTTCGTTATCACAACCTCGCGCGCATTATCACTATCCTGTCTC